TTAGCCACCCTGTGTTTATTGATTAGAGCATTTGTCCATTGACTTTTAAAGTGATTATTGGTAGGTATGTATTTACTGCCATTTTGTTTCTTGTTTTCTGGTTGTTTTTGTAGTTCTCTGTTCTTTTAGTCTCTTTGCTTGTGAATTGATGATTTTCTTCAGGGGTATGTTTGTGTCCCTTTTTCTCTAGTTTTTGTGTCATAGGTTTTTGATTTGTGGTTATCATGGGGTTCATATATGTTGACCCATTACTACATCTGCTTCTTTTAAACAGATAGTCATTTAAGTTCAAACACATTCTAAAAGATGTACATTTTTTTACTCCCCTTCCCAGGATTTTGTGTTTTGATGGCCTATTTTTGCATCTTTGTGTTCATCTGTTACTGCTTGTTGAAGTTACAGTTGTTTTTACAGGGTTTTGACTTTTAATCTTCCTGCCAGCTCATTTAAGTGGCTGGTCCTCAGTCTTCACTGTACGTTTGTCTTTTCTCGTGGGCTTTCTCCTTCCACGTAGGTACTTCTTGTAGCCTTTTACTTTCCACTTAGGGAAGACCATTTGACATTTCTTTTAGACCTGGTTTAGTGTTGATGAACTCTTAGTTTTTGCTCATCTGACAAGTTATTTCTCTCTCTCTCAGTTCTAAATGATAACCTTGCTGGGTAGACTCTCCTAGTTTGCAGGTTTTTCCCTTTCTGCACTTTGACTGTTTCATGCCATTCCCTTCTGCCTTGCAAGCTTTCTGCAGAAAAATCAGCTGATAGCCGTATGGGAGTTCCCTTGTATATAACTCTTCGGTTTTCTCTTGCTGCCTTTAGAATTCTCTGTTTAACTTCTGCCATTTTAATTATATGTCCTGATGTGGATCTTTTTGGGTTCATCTTGTTTGGGACCTTCTGTGCTTCCTGTACCTGGATGTTTGGTTCCTTCTTCGGGTTTGGGAAATTTTCAGCCATAATTTTATCAAATACATTTTTGACCCTTTTCGCTCTGTCTCCTCCTTCTGGGACCCCTACACTGCAAATGTTGGTACACTTGATGTTTTCTGAGATGTCTTAAAGTGTTCTCCTCAATTTGTTTTGTTTTGTTTTTCTTTTTGCTGTTCTGAATGGGTGATTTCCACGATTCTGTCTTCCAGATCACTTAAGCATTCTTCTGTATCACCTAGTCTACTGTTAATTCCTTCTAGTGTGTTATTCATTTATGTTATTGTATTCTTCAGTTCTGGCTGGTTCTCTTATATTTTCTAGTTCGTTGTAAAAATCCTCTCTGTGTCCATCTATTCTTTCCCCTAATTCAGCTAGCATTCTTACTACTAGTGCTTTGAATTCTTTATCTGGTAAATTGTTTATTTTTGTTCCATCAGTTGTTTTTTAGGAGTTTCCTCTTGCTCTTTTAATTGAAACAAGTTCCTGTCTTCTCATTTTGCTTAATTTTCTGTCTGTGAAATTAGGTGAGACAGTTCCCTGTTGTGGTCGTGAAGAGGTGTCCTTGTGTGGCAGCAACCCTGTACAGTCTGCATGTGCCCAGTGGCTTTGGTCGGGGACCTGGATGTGACGTGAACATGAGACATCTTTCTCCAGGGCGTGCTGGCAGCTATCACCTTGACAGAAGGTGGGTGGGGCTAGAGGTAGAGGGGCCAGGGCCAGGGGCAGCTGTGAGCAGGGCTTCTCTTCTGCTCAGTGGCCATCACCACCCTACCGGGGGCAGGGTTGGGTCCCAAGTTGCTAGAGCAGAAGCCCTGAGGGACGGGTGCAAGTTCACTCAGTTGCCTGTCAGCATGTGCTCTCCTCACCCTGGATGGGAGCCGCGCTGCGAGGGGCTGGCGTGGGCGCCGGCGCGGGCCTCGGCACGGCCTGTGCTGCCCCTCCGCAGTCTGAGATCTGGCTTCTGGTGCACTGCCTGTTGTCAGTGCCAGTCGTGGCTGCGCAGGGCTCTGGGTCTGGGCTGCCTTTGTGCCTCACAGCCGGGCTTTCCCCTCAGCCGAGGCAGCGCTCGCCCCAGCGTGGAGCTGCTTGTGAAGCAAGTGGGGCCAGGGCTGTTGCTCAGCCCAGGCTGGGGTGTGTGCTGAGGCAGTTGTGGGAAACCAGTTGGAGGCCCAGTCTCAGTCCACCCATTCCACCCTGTTTCGGGAATAAACAAGTATGTGCTCACTCCTCACGAGTGGGGTCCAGGCTTCCCATAGCCCTTCTGTTACAGCCAAGGGGACGTGTCTTCCTGAGGTCAGACCCCAGGACTGGGGCACCCAGAATGTGCTCGAACCACTGAGTCCCCTCCCGGCAGCACAGACCCCAATCCAGTTGCTTCTCTTCCCTTCCTGCCTGACTCCGGGTGGACCCTTCTGACAGCCCTGGTTGTGCAGGAGTCTGTCTGCAGGTTTGTTTTCAGTGGGAATTGTTCCACGTGTGGATGTATTTCTGATGTGTTCACTGGGGGAGGTGAGTTCCCCGCCCTCCGGCTCCACCATCTTGGTCTGTTTTTGACACTTTGGGAATTATCAGCCTTGTTTGCTTCCAGTCATGCTTCCCACTACATGAAAATATGTATATCTTTGGCTCTTAGCGAGGACCAGGATGTTTTTAAAGGTGTTTCAGTAATTTGTATCTATTGGATTTCCAGTTTCTATCATCTGCCTAGTTTGATAGGTTGTTTTTGCTTTGTCTTTCTTACAGATCCTAACAGAGATAAGTTACTGAGGAAAATTTGCTCTGAAACTTAACGCCTGTGGCTGTTGTGACGGGATACTCTTGCTGATGTGTTTCCTAATTGGTTATTGTTTCCTAATTGGTTACTGGTTATTGTTGGCTCATCGGAGCCCCGACTCTCTGGGTGCCTGATCTTACATCCAGCATCCTTGTGGTTCTGGGCAGTAATTTACGTATCCTGTGTGGCTCATTACTGCAGTGTCCCTGAGGGTGCATGCAGGACCTGGCAGAAACATCCTGAGTTTACCTGCTGAACACCTTTGTGGGCAGTGCTGAGTACACGGCTCGTTGTGAGGGAAGTTGACTCGTACAGAGTTCCTGCTCTTGAGTTTATCCACTGAAGGTAAAATAGATGTGGAAATTACAATAGGATAGAAAAGAGACTCGTCTGTCTTTGCATCCCCAGTACCGCTCCTGGCAGGCATAGTGAGCACTCAGTGTCTGAAATAAGCACTGTGGTGCCATGAGAAAATGATTTTAAAACTTTTTTTTTTTCAGCTGAAGAACCCATTAATTAGAGAGATTCTCAATCCTGGCTGCATAGTAGGATCACCAAGAGAATGTTTGAAATATTTATGTTCAAGATCATCTGGCAGAGGGTTGGATTCAGTTCATCTAAGGTGGGACCAAAGTGTCAGCGTTAAAAACGCAAACAAACAAAAAGCTTGGGTGATGCCGTTGAGCAGCCAGGGGTGAGAAGCACCGTTGACCCAATGGGTGAAGTCTGCAAGTAGAGCTGGAAATGGGGTGGGGGCTCCCCTTCTCCTCGCTTTGGCCCCGGATGGGGCTTTGCTGAGCACAGTTTGAGAGCCACAAGCCTGTGGCCCCGGGGACCCTGTGCCCACTGGCTGCTAGCGGCCTTGTTCTGGGCTCGTGCTGCCGCTTCGCACGCCGGGATGAGACATAGGCCGACGTCCTGGTTCAGCCAGACAGGCCTCTCAGGTACCCTGTGCTGGGGCTGCCAGACCTGGGAGTGCCGGGGGGAGGGCGGCTGGAATTACATGTCAGACCCAAGTGGTGCGTGCGTCCAGTTCAGCCAAATAGCGCACTGCTTCTCCTAGACTCCTCGTCACCGTGGGGAAGGAATTAGTGACGTAAGCACAGCTCTCCAGAGGGCATGCTGAGGACATTGGGCCACCCCCAAGATTCAGAGGTGGGGGCCTTTTTATTAAAAATGATCATCTCTTGCTTTTAGTTAGCACTTATGTTTAATTTTGAACTTTACAAGGATAGTGACTGACAACAGGTGCTGACTGCACCCATCCTACTGATGATGAAACTGAGGTCCAAAGAAACTGTCTTGCCGAAGACCACACAAGGAAGATGAGCGTGGGTTCAGACCCTGATGCTCTGACTTCAGAGGCCACTGCCTCTGCTCCAGTCTGTCTTTGAGCAGCCCTCTGTCAGGAAGAGGTCTGTGGTGATTTACACACCCCGTTACACACTTGCCAACTCCCTCTTTGGCAGCATCTCCTCTGCCGGGAAGGACAGCTGTCTGTGCAGCTGAGGGTGTGACCTGGTGCACGCTGAGTGGAGAAAGCTGCAGAGGCAGTGAATCAGATTTGTTCGTGGGTTCCTTTTTTCCTGGTATAAATTGTGACCCAAGAGTTGCTTTCAGTTCTATTCTCTGGCTTCCTGTACAACTGGAGCGCAAGCTCTGTTACCTAACACCCGTTACCCGTCACCCTCAGGGCAGTAGACAGTGCGGCACCTGTCAGAAATGGTGATAAATATCTAGGCCAAAGGGTTTTGAAAAAACCTGTGCGGTCAAATGGAACGCTCAGTCCAGATGACCAGGTATTTTCAGGAAATAAAGCACTCACACCCGACTTTCTCCTCTTTCCCTTCTTCTTGGCTACCTGTATGTCCTGCCTCTTCTGGGCCTTTGCTCAGGCTTGTCCCCGCTGCTACCCCTCCTCCCCTCGTCCTCCTCCACCACCCCCGCCCCGGGGAGGGAAACAGCTCCTCCTCTCCTTGCTTCCACTCTTCTCACCCGTGAACTACCAAGTCCTAGCGATCTGCTTCCCTCGTTCGTCCAGAATTGCTCTCCAGCCCGGTTGCCGCCTCCCAGGCCAGCCCCCAGCATCTCTGTTGGACAGGCTGTGCCTGGTCTCCCAGTCCTATTGTCACAGACACGCTCAGCTTCCTTGTGTGGTCTCCCTGGCAGTTCCCGGAGCACGGCACCTCTCCATCCCCAGCAGACCTGGGACAGACCCAGGGGGCCTCAGGGGCAGCTCTGCTCTCCTGGACCTCTCCCCTCCCTTGCTTCCTCTGAATTGAGCACTTGGACACGGAGGGCGAGGAGGAAAAAACACTCCTTTATTCCCTGTGGCAAAGACTGCTCGAGAGCAGCCAGCACCCTTCCTGGGAAGGCAGGCTCTGTCTTGGGGCCCCAGCAAGGCCAGGGCAGTGGTAGGGTCACCGCTGACCCCACAGGCAGGTCGGGGTGGAGACGACTGCCCCTTCCTCAGAGCTTCTCCAGGTAGGAGCCAGGGACGAAGCCACGCTGCCCATTCCGTTGTACTGTCCACCAACCATCTTCCCCTTCTAGGATGACCTCCAGGATGTCCCCCGCAGAGAGGTCCAGCTCATCAGAATTCTGGGCGAGAATGAAGGCACATCAGGCTGAAGGGGCCTGCTGGGACAGTTCTGGTCAGCCGTTCCCGCACCCCAGGCACGAAATGCCAGCTTGTCTCCCAGGCGGGCTGTCAGCTGAGGCAGGACGTGGGGTGCTCTGTGGGACTCAGCCTCTTCATCTCTCTGGTTTGTCACTGTGGGCCTCCCACAACCTGGGGCTCCTTCCCTTCTCCCTGCTCCTGACACACAGCAGCCTAGCCATTTGTGGCAGGTGGCCTGCCGTGCTCCCACCCTGCTAGCCCTGTCATGAGCACAGTGTCATCATCCCGGCCTGTCTCCCCAGCCAGGGACTGGGCCTTGGGAGTCACCGAAGCCTGCCCTGGGCAAGAGAATGAAAGCACATCAGGCTGAAGGGGCCTGCTGGGACAGCTCTGTCCTTGAAGGGATGCTTGGCCTCTGTCCTGGGGAACCTAGGGGTCCAGCTCTGTGCTCCTCACCTCAAAGCAGGGAGCAGACTAGGCTTCCTGGGGACCTTGGCACGGTGCCCTGTGGCTCCTTGACTCATCCTCCCCTTATGGGCCTCAGAAAGTCAAACCCTGGACACTCATGGTCGTGGGAACAAGGCCCTCACCTGTGGGTGCAGAACCTGACCCTCAGACCACTTCCTCAGGGAGCCCCAGCTGTCGGTCTGCCTGCACACCACGTATGCGTGTGACCAGACTCAGGCAGGCCCGGGCCTCCCCTACATGCTGGGTGCTGTCCTAAGGGCACCCACTCCAGCACACAATGCACGTGCCTACGTGTGAGCACAGCCTGGGCGTACCAGTGCCCTCCCGGGGAGGACAGGAGGGCGGGTCCTCACCTGGGCCGTGTAGTCATAGAGTGCCCTGTACTCCTGGGCTGGCAGGGTGGAGGGTTCTGGCGTCTCCTGCACAGCGATGGCGGCGTAGACACCATCGTTCCGTTCAGGGGTGGGGGTCAGGTTCTCTGTGGAGGCTGAGAGCAGGGTCAGGCCTGGCGCCCGCCCCTTGGAAAAAACAGTGGTCCCTGGAGGCCCCCCCGATGTGGAGCTTCCCCAGACCTGGCTCAGCCTCTCCCCAAACCCCAATCCCCCTGCTGCTGGAGGACCCATCTGTGCCAGGTAGGCATCCTCCTCGTCCCTGCAGGGTGACAGTTTGGGGGCCCTCACAGCACCCCCATTTACCTGCAGAAGCTGCTGACGATGTGGTCTTGGCACTTCCGTGCAGCAGCCCAGAGAACCTGGGGACAGGGAGGAAAGCAGGTGGGTCCCGGGGAGGTGGACGAAGCAGGGAGCCCTGGGGCTCCAGGCACAGGCGTGACTGACGGGGTGCCCCTCAGCATGAGAGCTCCTCCAAGGGGGGGCCCCAGCGGCGGCGCTCTTCCAGTCCCTCACACTGTGGCCGTCGTCTTGTGCCGGGTCCCTGCAGAGCCTAATTGGTGGCCCTGAGACCTCTTCTCCAGGGCCCAGGGCCCCCTGCACCAGCCCTCCCCCAAGCGCGAACGGAGCTGCTGCCCGGAGCTTGGCCTACTCGAGGCCCGCTAGGGCCTTCACCCATCTTGGCCCGGACGGTCCTCTTCCCTGCAGCTTCCCCGTGACCTGGCCACGCAAAGTGGGTTCCAGGAGGCAGTGCTGGGCTAATTCACCCCTTCCCCTGTGCCTCGCTCAGGCCTGGAGCCAGATTTACGCAAATTTGTTGAGTAAAAGAAGAAAGCAAAAAGCAAGAGGCAGACACTGGGGTACGTAGTAGGGAGACAGGTGAGGGTGCCCACAGCAGGTGGTGCTAAGGGCTAAATGAGTAGAGGCTGATGCTACTTCCCTGCCTTAGGAGGCCTTCCGGGGGGGGCGGGGGGAGCCGGGCCAAGGCTGAAGGCTCAGCTTCACCAGGGACACAGGGCTGCCTTGCTGGGGTCTGGGTCCTCCAAGACGGTAAGAGTGCAGGTGGGAATGCCCTCCTCTCCTGGGGGCCTCTGGTTCTCAGGGTTCGCAGGGGTGTGTGCTGTGATGCCCAGGAGCCTCTGTCTCCCCGGAGACTTCCTGCAGGGGGGCTCCAGAGGCCTTGGAAATGAGCTGTCCTCGGAGGGCTGGGAGCCCCACCCCTTGCCCCTCTCTCAAAGACAGGGCCTTCTCCGCAGTAGGTTGGAGGGAGAGGCGGTCAGAGCGACCTGGAGTGGGGGTGGGCTACCGGCACCACGGGAAGCCCACAGATGTTCCTAGATACCCACACAGGGGACATGTGGGCTGTCATCGTCGTCACTTAAGGCCTGAAAAGGAGCATCCTTAGATCTGGGCCTGCCCCCTACATTCACAGGCTCTGCACCTAGAGAAGGTACGTGGCTTCTGCAGATGACACCCACTGCAGCCAGTCCAGAGGAGGAGCCCTGGGAAAGCCTGGAGCGTTCTCCAGGAGTACGGGCTGCCCTGATCTCACCAGCGGGAGAGGTCACCACTGCAGCCTGTCAGTCCAGGGCTCCAGCCAGGCTAGCGGCAGGGCCTAAGGGACAAGCCACCCTGAAAGTCTGCATGCAGTTGCTAGTGAATAAGTGGGGTGTGACTGCTTAATGCCCCTGTCCCTTTAGGCTGAGGGTGTCATGAGGCTAGAGTGAGCCTGTCTTGTCCCCAAAGAGTGCCCAGCACCCAACAGCACCATGTACACAGTAGGTGCTCAGTAAGTACACAGGAAAGAGCCAGTTAAGGAGGAGAGGCGGGCCTTGCTTCCTGGCAGCCCCCTTTTCCCCCAGCCCCAGTACCCCAGTCTGCGCTCACCTCTTTATCATGCCACAGGATGGCTGCGGGCCAGGGCTGCTGGACATCGGGGCGACCTCCCGGTCATAGTAGTTCTGGTAGGGCACCGGAGCTGCGGGCAGCAAGCCCGTGAGGCCCAGGGTAGGAGGCCAGACAGGACACCCCCATCCTGTCCCCACCCAAAGACCCAGTCTGGGGCCCCACCTTCCCCTGGCCCACCCTGGTGCTTCCATGAGAGACCCCACCGCGGGTACCACCAAGACCGAATATTCTAAACTTGGGCCTTAGTGATACCGAACAGGCTGGGGAAGGGGGCTCTGGGAGGCTCCCTGCCTCTACCCCTGTCCTCCGCCCCTTCAGTGTTACCAGGGTTCTTGAGCTCGGCTCATCCTCTGTCTCAGAGGAGGCAGCAGGCTAGAGCCCCGGCACTGCCCCTGACCCCTATCCCCCCAGCGGGGAGGTGTGACACTGTCCCTGACTGCCCTCCCCCGAAGGGAGGTGTGAGCCTCTCCCGCTTGGTCCCGGCAGCTGATGCACAGAGAACCCCGGCCGGGTCGTCAGGGCGAGGTGGGCCTGGACGCAGAGGCTGTGCTGCCTCCAGGCTGGCCTCACCTGGGGGCTCGGTGCCTGTGCTCTTGGCCTGGATGAAGCCGTCAATGTCACCGTCCACGCTGCAGCCTTCCAGAGTCACCCGCACCTCTTCGTAGAGCTGGGAGCGGGAAAGAGCAGACGCTGAGGGGCCAGGCCTCCCCTCTGTGGGTCTGAACCCGGGCCAGAGGCCTTGAGGGCTAACAACCCAAGGCCTGCCCGGGGGTCAGGGCCTGGCTGGCAGCTTCTCCTGTTTCCTGAACAGCTGCACAAGTTCCTTTGCAAGGAGTCACCTCACTCCCATCCTCTGAGGGCGACACTACTTCCTCTTTTGACAGATGAGGAAATTTGGGAGGAGAGTGATTTGTCCAAGGTCACAAAGCAAGAATTCAGCGCGCTGGGCTTGGGATTCACTACGGGAGGGTTCACAGCCCACACTCCTTCCTCTGCCACAAGGAGGCCACTGGGGGGTGTCAGTCATTTGAGGGGGAAACTCCAAAACAGCCTGTGGGCAGAGGGGCAGCCTCAAGACAGCACGGGGCTCTGGGGCTGCACCAACGGAGGGCAGGGCCTCTCTGCTGAGGAGGACCCACGCAGGAACTGTCTGGGGACAGAGGAGGGACTAGACCTTGGTTCCTGTAAGCGCCAGGCCTGGAGCAGACAACCCAGGGTCCTCCAGCCTCTCCCCAAACTCTGCGGGCCTGTGTCCACCCACCTTCCTGACCCTGGCAGACGGAGCAGGTGCTCTGTGGCTCTGCTAGCAGAGCCAAGGCCTTGGAGCAGGGCTGCGCACAGGGAGCAGGTGCCGGCAGGCGGGGGGTGGGGGGGGCAGGGGCGCGGACCACAGAGGAAGCTGTCTGCTGCCAGACTCAGGTGGGCCTGGGGAGCTGCTGCTGGGGAGCTGCCCTCTCCCCACGCCCTGCCCGTCCCCGCCCTCAGCCCCCACCTCGTCGTCCTTGACGCACTGCATGGAGAGCTGGTTGCAGTGCACCCACAGGGCATTGCGGAGGATGGTCAGCCGGTCAAACTCTTGCAGCTGGAAGGCCTGGGGGAGTAAGAGAAGTGGAGGGCTCTGCTGCAGGGCTGGGCCGGGCTGGGCCAGGCCGGGCCCCACTCAGCCAGACCCCCTCTGCTGAAAGCCAAGTCTAAAGGAAAGATTCTTCCTGAGGGTCTCCACCCCAACCTTTGTACCAGCTTCTGGGGAGTGTCGTGCGAGGAGCACTGGTCCCCGAATCCTGAGGCCTGTCTCCCAGGCCCTGTCGGTCAGCAGGGCCCAGGGACGCTATGGGTTTTGTCTGAGCCTCAGTTTGGACTTAAGCCAGTGGGGGTGCAGGATGCCTGCCTGCAAAAAGGGGCCCAGAGCACAGAGCCAGGCAGTGAACTCCCCAGGGGCAGGGACCCAGCACAGGGCCGGTGGTATGAGTGGAAGAGAAAATGAAGGAAGCAATGATGCCTCATCCCCCCGTGAAGCAGCTGGAGCAGGGGTGGGCGTCTGTCCCATTGTAGCTGAGGGAAGTGGGGGGGGTCACTCACCTCACACGTGGCCCGGTGCTCCTGCTCCCACTCGCCCCGCACCTTCTCCAGCTGCTCAATGTTCTGCCTGTATACCCGCTCTGGAAGCACAGGTGGTCCTCAGGGAGGCCGGTGGCCTGAATGCCCTCCCATGGCCCCTCCTTTGCTCCAGCAGTGCCCCTGCCCCGAGTGCCCTCCTGTGCAAGTCCTTGGAACCCCTCCTCCTCCCTAGAGGGACCCACCCTGGCTGTGGGTGCTGCATCTGAGTGCTCGTCAGGGCCCCGCACCCTAGTGCTGCTCTTCTCAGGGTGACTCCCAGCTCCCCGCTGTGCTCCAGCTGCCTGGGGCTGGGGCCGGGGCCGGAGCTGAGCCTCAGAGGCCCAAGGTCAGAGTCTGGGTCTTTCGCCATCCCTGGCTCCCACCCTCACTTTCTAGATGGGAAACTGAGGCTCAGAGAAGCTGGCACTGAAGGAGGGGTGGAGGGGAGTGTAGGGAGCTGATGGGCTGGGAAGCCCACAGGCTGGGCCATGACCTCTGTCCCCAGATTCTCTGGGGCTCACCTGTCCCCAGCCAAGGGAGCTGCTGCGTCCTGGAAAAGGCCGTGTTAGCAGAAGGCAGAGCCTTCCCAGTGCAAGGGAGTAACCGAAAGCTCTCTGTCCTAGGAGCCGTGCCAGCAGAGAGAGGGGTGTTGGGACTTCTGGCATCGAATGAAGGATAGAGGAGACAGGCCCAGAGAAGGGAAGGCTGTGTGCATACACATGTGTCAATGTACAGATGGGAGGGAGGGAGAGGTGGGAGGCGAGTGGGGCTGTCTCCCTTGATTGTGGCTGTGAAAGTCCTGGGCTCTGGAGTCAGATGGCTTGGGTTCGAATGCAGTTACCACCACTTGTTGGCTGTGTGCCCTTGGGCAAGTCACTTAACCTCTCTGTGCCTTAGCTGCCTCATCTGTTAAAGAGGATATAATAGTGGCCACCTCACAGGACTGTCACGTGGATTAGTTAAAATATGCAAAGCACCAAGAGCAGTCTTGGCAAATGTGAGAAAACCAATGTTTTTATCTTGCACAAAAGTATGGAAGTGAGAGTGAGGGGCATGTAACTGTCCCCAGGGTGAGGGAAGCGTGCTGCTGGGGGAGGACTGTCCAGGCCACCACTTTCCCCAGCTGAGGGGGTGGGCCGGCTGCCTACCTGCCTCCGTGGCCGAGTCCTTGCACTGCTTGGCTTTGTTCTGGCTCTGAGGAGACAGAGAGCAGCCCTGAGGCCCCGCCCCCAGGGCCTCCCAGCCCAGCCCAGCCCTTGGGCTCCCAGCCTCCCTGGGTGACTCTGAAGGGACTCCCTTGGCCACCCAGGGGGCCACTCAGGAGCCAGCTGTGGACAAGTTCTCTCATTAACTCCAGCCTCACCCCACAGACGACCACAGGCTGGTTCCAATAAAAAAGGAATAAAACAAACCTGCATCTCATGCAGATACACGTGAAAACAGGATGCTGAGACCGAGAGGGAGACACTGACCAGGCCTGGTGCCCCATGACAACTCCTGAACCCACTGGCTGGGGCTTGCTGCCACCAGCTCACTCCAGGCCCCTGCCCTCTCTGGGCCTCAGCCTTCCAGTCTGTGCAACGGGCAACTGTGTTCTTGGGCCATGGCAGCTCTGACACCCTCCCCCGCAACTGGCCAAGAGGCCAGAGCAGTCAAGAGTTTGGCCTCTGGACAACCTGGGTTTGGGTCTTTTCTCTGTTGCTTCCTGGCCCTGAGAACTTGGACAAGTCACTCACCATCTCTGGGCCTGTTTCCTCTCTGTGACTTGGGCCTAGTGAGCCCTTCTTCAAAGGGTTGTGTGAGGGTTAGCGTCTGTTCTCATTGTCTGTGAGCTCTGGGCCTGGGCTGCAGGGGTCTGCTCTGAGGAATGGGTCCTTGGGGGCAGCCTGGGGATGGATGGCAAAGGGAGTCAAGCTGACCCTGTCTGTCCAGGCCCTGAGATTCTAGGAAACCCATTTCACAGATGGGGAGATGGAGGTTCAGAGAGGTGAACAGCCAGAATGTCCCAGATGCAGGCCTTGCCTTGGGGTGTCTGTGGCACCCCTGCCCTGCCTCCCTGCCCTGCCCCAGCCCTGTGACACCACATGGCCTCAGTGGCCCCACACACCTTCTCCACCTGTTTCTGTTGGCCATTGGCACTGATGCGCTCGAAGGCCTGCTCGGCATCGTCTGCGTCCCGGCACTTCTGCTCGTATGTCTTCTTGGACTGGGGGTGTGGAAGGGCATGACTTGGGGCGCCCCAGAGTGAGGCTCCTGAGCCCAGCCTCCCTTCTCCCTGCTGGGGGCTGTGGATGGAGTGGGGGCCTCCTCACCGGGGACAGGGATCAGGGTCCGGAATGGAGATGGACAAGGGAGTCTTTTTGCCAGGCCCCTTCCCAGTGGGGACAGCGTAGCCCTACCCATGAGCCCAGCCTCATCAAACCACCAGCAGGGCCCTGCAAAAGCCACACGTGGTCACGATGCAAGCCTCTGCACGTGTGGTCCCCTGGTGGAGCCCTTTTTCTCCTCACCAAGTGTCCTAGGGGACACAGCTCAGGGGTCCCTTCTCCCTCTGCCCCCAGAGTCCCGATCTGATGGCATGGATGGCCCTGCGGACCGCTGTCTGGGACTGACCGCCTGCTCATCAGTCGGGATGAGCCCCCCGAGGGCAAGGCCTGGGTCAGTCTGTACGGGGCCCTGGGACCCAGTGCAGCCCCCCAGACCCAGCAGGCTGCTGTTCCTGTTGCTGGGTGGAGGCCTACGGCCAGCCCTGTCCCCTGTGCCCAGCCCAAGGCTCCTGGGATCCACACCTTGAGCCCAGCCACGCCTCCAGGCCTGAGACTCTCGCACTCACCTCCATGGCCTTCTTGTAGAGCGACAGCTTGCTTTTCTGGACACGGTCCATGGCGGCCTCATACTGCGGGGGACACAAGGCTCTGAGCGTGGGGCTGTGGCCTCAGGATGTTCTAGGCCAAGAGGACAGGGTGTCCCTGGGACGAGGCCCGGCCTCCCCTCCTGGCTCTGACGGCGGCGATGACAAAGCTCCCTCCCTGTCCCACCGTCTTTCACAGCTACCGCTCAGAACACAAAGTGAGGGGAGCCCGGGGTGTGGCCCAGCCTCGCTGCAGACCCCAGCCCGCGCCTGCGCTCTGGCAGGCACACCCAGCCTGCACGCATACACGGGCCTCCGCTCATAAGCCTCCGTACCCACGCACAGCGGTCACACCCGTGCACACACGCTGGTACACGCACGCAGAGCTCCACATGACACACACTCAAGCACTAACAGGCCCCACTGCTCACACTTGCACACACAAGGCCTTCACAGAGCACCCACAGACACCACTCACAAGTACACACACACACACTCTCTCATGTCCCCCCACCCCACAGCCATGGGCCTGTGCACACACCCCCCAGACTGAGTCATGGCCACACATACAGGCACCCGGGGCCATTGCACCCTCCCCTCCCCTCCCCGGCTCCTTGTTCAGATCGGGTGAACTTGGCCTGGACAGAGATTGGCTATAAGGTACGAGGAGAATTGGAAATAAAATGCCCCTCGTGTTGCGGCTGGAGCAGGCTGGTGCCTGGGGCCTCAGTGGGCCCGTGCCAGCAGGGAGACCTCAGGAACTCACCCGGCCACACCCAAAACATTGAGGCATGCACGCATGTACCCACATTCTCCTGTGTGCACACACCCAGGCAAGCTCCCCCCACACTACATCACAGCTCTCCTCCACTTGCAGGCACCCTGGCCACTCTGCAGAAGGTGTCACTCTGTCCAAAACAGCTTCTGCAGACATCACAGCCCTGCTGGCCACAGGAAGGCTCAAAATAGCCCCCTCCGGGCCTCAGTGCTGCAGCGGATGCTCTGCAGGCCAGTCCCAGCCCAGAGAGGCCACTGGCTCCAGCGCCTCAAGGCTGGGCTAACTTCTGGGGCTGGCTCGGGGGTAACAGCTGTCTGCTCAGGAACCCTAATTTAGAATCTGAAAAGCCAGAGACCCCGGCTGGCCGGACGGGCAGACAGGGGCTACGGCCACACGACACTTCTGTGGTCAGAGCCGTTAGGCCGGCCAGCAACCTGCCTATGAAGGGGGGCCTGGTTCTGGGCTGTCCCCAGAGCTTGGGAGGTGGACATAAGTGTCGCAGCCTGCAAGAGGGGAACTGAGGCGCAGGGAGGGAAAGCCACTCGGCCAGCACACCCAGTCCCGGCCTGGCTCCGGCCGTGACCTGTCGCCGTCCTCTTCGCTACTCAGCTGTGTGGAGTTTTCCATTTTCAATTCTTTGAACAGTTTATGATGATCCTTCCTCTGGGAGCAAGAAGCATTTCTATGCACTGGCCTCTCCCACCCTGTCCAAGGCACCACCCTCATCACTCAGGATCTGGCAGGCTGAGCATGTATCCCCACCTGTCTTCCCAGAGGCCACATGCGCAGCCAATCAGAGAGCCTCAGGCTTGGGAGGGGGCCCTGGGACACAGAGGTCCCCCAACCCCCCTTCCCTACAACTCCTGCATCTTCCCTAACAAGCAGCCTCCAGCCTCTGCTTCCACACCTCCCGTGATGAGGACCTCACTTCCTGTCCATACAGGCCCCCCTATCTAGGGGCAACCATTCGACAGATGGGTGGAAAGTTCCTTTGGATGTGAAGGTGGGCCTAACAGCCCGGACTCCTGCAGGCTGCCTCCCTCAGCCTCAGGCAGCCCTGCAGGGTCCCTTCTCCCACAGTCGTGCTCCTTGGGTTTCTGCTCGGCCAGTCTGGTGGCTCCCTAGCTTCAGTGGCCTCCTCTGAGCTGTCACAGGCCCTCTACAGCCTGCTGTGGCTTTGTCGTCCAGAAATCCCAGCTTTTTGTAACCGAATGGTCAAAAAGACCGTCTTTCCCTCTTCCTGATATGAGCCTGCTCGGGGGGAAGACCCCAGGGGGACTCTCAGGCCTGAGAGTTGGGCCCTGGCTCCTGGGGCCTGGCCTCTGTCCACACCCTCCTCTCCTCCAAATTACCATCACCCCCCAGCCTGGTTTTCACAACTACCGCTCAGAACAGAAAGTGGGGGGAGCCCGGGGGCAGACCGGCCTCACCGTAGACCCCAGCCAGCGCCTGCGCTCTAGCGGGGACGCCCAGCCTGCACTCAGACACGCACACGTGGTAACAAGGACCACCTCCCACTCCCCCCACTCCAGCACTCGCCTCACCTTCTTCCTCTGCTCCTTCTGCCTCTCACGGAACTCCTCCAGGCTCCGCAGCTCCTCCCGCAGGGCCAGGGCCAGCTGGATGTGGGAGCTGCCCACGTTCTCCATTTCTGCGGGCAGAGTAAGGTCATCAGTCCCCCGTGTCAGACCTGATAGGCCCCAGCTACTCACACGCTCGCCCCTGCCTGGGCCAGCCCAGCCCCAACCCCAGCTCGTCTCCGTCAGCCCCAAGTCCTCCACCAGCCTCGCAGCCCTGTGCACAGCCTGAGCGCCCCACTCCCAGCCAGAATCCATCCATCTCCGTCTGCGGGGGTCTGGTGTTCCCGGAAGGTCCTGTCACCCTGCAGCCTGTAATGCAGGACAGGTGGGACTTACGCTGCTTCAGGGAGTCAAAGGAGGCCCTCAGGGAGCTGCAAAGAGAAAGGCCAGGGTCAGCAGGACGGCACAGCGGAACCTGAAGTCCTGGCTGGGCCGAGGGACTTTTATTTTGGTGGGAGAGCCATAGGTCACTCACTCAGATCTAGACCCAAAGGACCCTCTAGCCAGACCACGATCACCCACTCAGAGCCCCAGCTGGGATTTCTGGACGCAAAGCTTTTTGGAAATTATGCAGCTATCAAACCTCCCACTGCGGCAGGCCCTCCCTCCCCGCCTCCTACAGCCCCTTCCCCAACAGGCTTCTTCCTTCTTTAGGATGAGCTGAAGCAGGAGAGGGCGGGTTCGGACCTGGCAAATAGCCCAAGGATGTTTTGGAGGGAGCTGGATGGGGGCTGTAATTGGACGGAGGGTGGTGAGCAGGGCAGAGGAGCAGGAGGGGAGATGTGGGGGCCTCGGGACAGGATGCATAAGGTATACAGGGGAGGACAGTGTGAGGCTGAGTGGCTGGGTGGACAGGTGGCACCTCTGAGAGGGCGCCCAGGAGGGAAGGTGGAGAGCTGACTTCAGGGTGCACTGAACTTGGGGTGCCTGAGAGAACCCAGCAGGATGAGTCAGGAGGCAACAGGGTAGCCAGTCTGAAGCAGAGATGCAGGCACTGTCCCCTCCAGGGAGAGCGGGAAGGGGCTGGCACTGGGCAGGGGTAGGGGGTGATGCCCGAGGCTAGAGTTGCCAGATGGAGCAAGTAAAATACAGGACACCCAGTTAAGTTCGAATTTCAGATAAGCAACAAACATTTTTTGAGTACAAGCATGCCCCATGTAATATTTGGAACATACATGTTTAAAATATTTGTTGTTTATCTGGAATTCAAATTAAACAGGACATTCTGTATTTTATCTGGTGCTCCTGCTGAGGGGGCTCTTCCCAGGCCACGAACAGAGCTGAGGCCTGAGCAAAGATGTCGGAGCCCCCCGGGACCCCGTCCCGCCTACTGCAGACAGGTGAGGGGTACCACGAGGCACGGCGGTCTCTGGGTCAGAACAGCACTGATGGGGAAAGGGCCTCTCCCAGCCCATCAGCTCTTCAAGGCAGGGGCCTCCCAGAGGGGTAAGCTCTCTGCTCCCGCAGAGGCGGGAGGTGACTTGGATCTCAGCCCAGGAAACCAGCAGGACCTGGGCAGGGTCTTCCTGCTCTGGACTCCCACCTGCTTTAGAAGCAGACCCTGGAGCCAGACAGCCTGGGTTCAGTCCAAGCTGTGGCACTCACTCTCTATGTGACCTTGGGCAAGTTACCCAGCCTCTCTTTGTCTCGGTTCCCCCTTCTGCAAAATGAGGTTAATAATAGTGCAAATGGAGTGGTTGGGAGGAGTAAATGAATTTATACGTATAAGGCACTTTCATTAGGACCTGGTACAAAGCAGGTGCTTTATAAAGTTGCTGCCTCCTCTGGGCCCACGTCTGCATGCCCCCACCAGTCTAGGGGGTGCCCCCAGCTCCTGAATCTGACCTGAGCTGTACCTCCAAAGTGTCCCACCTAAGAGCTTACTGGGTACCTCCTCTTATCAGAATTCACCTTCAGGTAGGGGGTCCCCTTGAAGGTGTTTGTAGCCCCTTAACCAAGCCCCTTAAAATACACTGTGGCTCCTCAGGCATCCTGGGTGGTTGGGGGGGCACAGTCAATCGAGGCAGATATGGAAACTAAGGCCAGAGCATGGCCAGCCTTGCTGGGGTCAGACAGAGGCAGTGGAGAGGCAGCCTGTCACTGGCGGCATCCTTAGGCCGTCCTGGAGTGGGGCGAGGTTGGGGCGCCCAGCCGGCTCTCGGCTCTCATCCAGTCTCTCTGCAGAGCGGCACGCCCGCCCCCTGGTGGCCATATGGCTGCATGACACCCAGCGAGACAGCCCGGCCCACCCACCTGCAACTCCCGCGGTCCTTGAGAGAGAGGCTTCACAGAGGGCTCCCTCCTCCCGTGGGACAGCTGGGGAACCTGAAGCCATGGCCATGGAGGAAGAGCAGGCCAGCAGCATCAGCATCACCTGGGCCTTTGTTAGAAACGCAAATTCTCAGGCTCCACCCCAGTCTCCTGAAGCAGAAGCTCGGGGGTGGGGCCTGGCCCACTGTTTTAACTTGCCTCCAGGTGCTGCTGATGGAGGTTCCAGCCTGAGCTTAAATTACTTAATCCTCACAGCTCTTCCAGGCAGGGAGGGCACCATCATTATCCCCATTTTACAGATGAGAAAAACAAGGGTCGGAGAGGTTAAGAAACTGACCATGGTCACACAACTGGTGAGAGGAGGAACCAGGTGGGACTCTGCTTCTCACCAGAGGAAGGAGAGGGGTGGTGGCCATGGTGACCTGACATGCCCTGGTCGGGGAGGGGAGAGGTCAGGACTTTCCGACAGGTGACGCCTTGCCAGTGGTTACGCCTCCAATCCCTCTCCTTCCCTACACACTCTCCTGCCTTGGTCTCCCCCTTCATGGTTAGGGCTTCTCCAGGCCCAGCATGGCCCCTTTTCCCCACCATCCCTCACCCACAACACGACCACATCCCACCCAGACCCCGCAGAGCTCGTGGCCTGCACACTCACTGCCTGCCCCTCACCTCCTTTGGTCTCTCGCATCTCACAGACACCTCAGACTCAGTGTCTGAGATGGACTCAGTGCCCCCAGAAACCTGCTCCTTCTGCAGGTCTCCCTTCTCAGCAAACGCAACACCAGGGCTCCTGGTTATGCACACCAGAAACCTGGGAGCTGCCCTCGGCTCCACCCGCCTCCCCCTGCATTACCTTCCCTTCCACCTCCCAAATCACCTACCCGTCCACCTCTCACTGCCACCACCCTGGCCCCTGGCCCACCATCTCCATCCCTCCAGCTTCACTTACCACCTGTTAGCCCTGTTCTCTGCCCCAGTCACTTGGCCACCCACCAGTTCCTGCTATATGCCATGTTCCTTTTTACCTCAAGGCCTTTGAACATGCTAATTCCCTATGTGCAGCATCTGGCCTGGCTTCCTCTTCTGTCCCTTCTGAGCACTTGTCCTGTTGTCATCTTGGGTTGATACATTGAGTGTCTGTTACCCGACTGAACTGTGAGCCCATTGAACAGGGGCAATGCCTGGTTCTCCTCCGCATTGTCTGCAGGCTCACAGCCCAGAACAACAAACTCAGCACTCCTAAATACCAAGGCCTTTCTCCACCCTCCTGGGCCCAGGGACTCAGGCCCTTCCTCCCAGGCCCAAGGTGGCTGTAAGGAATCACAGCCTCCTGGGGCAGCTGGTCCTTCCTCGCTGCTATCCCTACCGCTACACACCTTGGATGCTGGGAGCCCCTGCCTGAGTTTACAGCACTGCACTGGGACAGTCCTGATGGTGACAGAGTCTATGCTCACTTCAGGCTCCTGTTTGCACCCATGAGCTTGCTGTTCCTTGGGGGCTGCAAGGATGAGGGTGCTCGGTCTGCTCGGGACAGGGGAGCAGGACTGCAGGCTCTGACTGCTCCAGGTCCCCCACCCACTCACCTCTGGGCAGCAGACCTTTCTGCTCCTTCAGGCCATCATAGTTCCACTCACAAAGCAGGGCCCAGGACATCACCTCTCTCTCTCAGCCAGACTTTCAAGGAGACAGCCCCAGCTGTATTGTGGGGAGACCTCAACTTTTCCTGGGACCAGAGGGAGCCCATTGTGGGTTGACAAACTCTTCCCAGGAAATGGCCTTAAACTCTGATCCTGTGGGGCATTTGGGGACCATCTGAAATCTTTCTCTGCCCCACGAAATTCAGAAAAGATGATTTCTCTTAGCTTTTCTATCATTCCTGGGTTCCTCCCCGTTGCCACTCAGGGAAACTGTCACCAAGGTTTCCCGGAGCTCTCCTCTACTGTGTCTCCATCACATGTCAAGGATGGGGACCCCATGCAGGCCTCTGCCCTCGGTTGTCAGTCACCAGCATCCTCATGTGTAACTCATCCTGTTGCCCTTTTCGACTTGACTCTCAGCCTGGAACTCTGTCTCAGTCTGAATTTCCAGTGTGAACATCTCCTGTACTGCATCCCCAGCCTGTGACATGCGTCACCTCCCTGTCTCTGTGGTGGCATCCCCACCTCCCGCCAGCCCACCTGCTGGCCAAAAGGCTCCTGCTCACAGGAGATGGCTCCTCTCACCTCCCTGTGCTGTAGGCTGGGCCTGGAGTATGCTGGCCTCCGGGAAGCCCTGATGGGAACAGGCCCTTCTCTCTCCCCACAGCATCCTCAGGGATATCTTTACTCTCTGAGCTCAGAGGAGGAGAGATCATGAAACCAAAATCTCTTCGGACAGGAAAACACAGCGTTTTCGGCTGAGACAAGCAGGAGTGAAACGGGTGGGAAGGTGTGATGATTCAAAACCTTGCCCTCCTGGGGGCTGCCCTCGCTGGCGGTGACCACAGAGATGTTCGCAGGAAGCTGGCCCAGCCCTGCTGCCTCGATTCCCCCTCAGTTCCTGCACACACCCCCAGGCAGCTTCCGGAGCCCACGGCCCTCAGCGCCCTACCTGGGGCAGGATGAATCAGACGGGGAGGTGACAGCTGTCTGAGGGAGGTGGGACTTCTGCCAGGCCTTACAGGGGAGAAACAGGGGCGACAGCCAGAGCAAAGGCCCAGAGGTGGGAAGGAAGAGTCAAGGTGAGCTTTCTGTGAGGCTGGATGTGTGGTTTAGGTGGTATCAGTAAGCCCCTGCACCCACATAGTGTCTTTAAAATGCATTGAAAGGGCTTGTGGGGATCCCTGGAGCTGGCGACCAGGTCTTACCTGCGTGTTCTCCGCTGCCAGCACCCAGAGGATGGTTGCTGAGTTAACATGTGGAGGAGGAGACCGCTAAAAAATCACTTGAAGGTGGGAGTAACCTCTCACCGTATGTGGCTGAGTCTCTGGCCTTCTGGCCTGTCTGAGGTCAGGGAGGGACAAAAACGCTGCATCTCCAGGCAGCGGGGGTGGGGAGGCCTGCTCTGCCCTCTCAGCTCTCACCAGGCTGTTTCCGGGGTCACTTAACCCCTTAGCTTTTGTCCTCCTCGTTCGACCCATCCAGCCTGTGCACCCCCCCCACCCTCTGCCAACCCTCCCAGAGGCTGCTAATGAGCAGCCCATGGGACGGGGGGCGCTCCCCGCAACCAGCAGATGGGCCCCAGAGGATGAGCTGCCAACCCCCATGCAGAACAGCCAGGCTAGCTTTGCCAGGTGCCTGCCCTGAACACATCCAAGGCTCCATGGCGACAAGCAAGCGACCCATCTTGTCACGGCTGCCACTCACTGTACCCACAAGGAGCCCTCCAGGCTGGTGTGGGAGGGGGCAACCTGGTCTAGGCCGAGACCCTGACAGGCAGGCAAGGCTGGAGTGTCTGGGAGAGCTTCCTGGAGGAGGCAGACCATGAGAGGGCCCTGAAGGGAGGTTCTAACGCAAAGGTCTGGGGACAAGAGTGAAGTTGCCCTCAGTGTGCGAGACCCTGGCTTCTGGACAGTGGGGCCTCTATCTTACCTTATTTCAAAAATGTAGACTCCCCTCGCCTCGGCCTAGGGCATGGCACAGTGTAGGCTCGGATGGATGATGGATGCTTGACCCACGGCTGACAGTCTCATCAAGCTCAGTACAAGTCACGTGGGTCAACAGAGGTACTTATTAAGCATCTACTGTGTACCGCCCACTGAGTTAGGGGTACGGCCTTGGGAAGGCAGCCAGGGAGCTGGGACTGTTTGACTCCTACCTGTCCTTCACTGGCTCTGAGTGTGCCCTGAGGGTTCCCAGCTCCAGCCTTTGCCAGGCGCCTGGCAGGAAGGCGCCTCCCCTTCCTCTCCACCTCTCCCAGGAGGTACCCTCCCCAGCCTACCCCGCTCTGACCTGCTGCTCTGTCCGCCTCTGCTCGATGGGAAACTTGGGGCAGTGCTGGTGCGCACGCGCCACTCTGGCCTATCCTGGAGCCTGCGTGGCTGGGTGGCGGGGCCCCCAGGGGTTTTGTTCCTGCCTGTCCTGCTGCTGGTTAGGCTGAGCCTGGGGGCCTGGCACTCCCAGCCTAGGCTCCAGCTCTTTCCAGGTAGGATGGAGGCTGCCCCTCCAGGGATTCCAGCTCTCTGGGCCAGGGAGGGGCCGGGGCCTCAAAAGAAATAGTCTAGGCTGGCCAGTCAGGCTCCTCAGCCTCAAACTCAGCAGGGTGACCCCAATCTACCTGACTTACGGAGGGGCCTGCATGATCGTAAAGACCCCGGCTATTTATGGACCATCACTGTGGCTCGGCGCACCCTGCTTGACGTTCTGACTGTCCAAAGCAACTCTTGGGTTTGACTGTGCCCTTTCATAGCCTAGGACCTAGGACCCAGAGAGGGGGAGAGCCCACCCCCAGTCACACAGCATACAGGGCAGGGCACACTCTGCCTCTCCGGGCCTCCTATAACCACACAGGGAGTCAGGGCTGCCCAGAGACTCGCCCTGGCCGCTTCATAGTTCTAAAAATGGTCAAGATACCATATGCTCACCGCCCTTCCCACTGCCCACCTGGCTCCACTCTCATTTTATCCTCATCCTCAGTGGCCTCTCCCTCCCTGCTGGAAGTCCCCATGACTCACAGCCCCCTGAGTGTGCCTCACATAGCCTGCCTCCAGCCTGGCCTCCGCCACAGCCCTGCCTGGAGCGCCCTCTCCATTTCCCTCCGGGAGGTCTCCTCTCTTCCCAGGAAAGTTCTCCCTTTTCAGCAGGCCTGGGAGGCCAGGAGGCGGGCAGGGACCCCTCCCAGATCATACTCCCATGATATCACGCCCTACGCAGGAAGACGAAGATGGTCCCCCCAGACCTGCATCTTATTCCTTACCATGTCCTGAGCTCACCCCTGGACCCAGCCTCTGCCCTGCCCTATTTAACTGCACAGCAGCCCACTGGTGTGGACAGATGAAAACCAAGTCAGAGAAGTTCAGTGACTTGCCCACAGTCACACAGCTCACAAAGGCCAGGCAAGGACTAGAGCGCATGCATTCTTACTCCTAGAGCTGCAGTCACACTTTCTGGTCCAATGCAGGACCCCTGGGCACTGAGCATTCACCTCCCCTGGCTCTCACGCCACTTTTCAATCTTGCTCTAGCCCTCCCCAAGTTTTCTCAAGGTCCAGGACAGAAGCAGGAACCAGCCAGGGCCCCCTGTGTCTTTAGAAGACTTAGAGAGTGCTGTATATTCGGACACTCAGATGAGTGGACCCAGTTCCCAGCTTTGGAACTGACAAGCTTGGGGCGCTTTTCCGTGGGCAGAGCCAGACACTCACCTGCCCGACCTCCGGGGGAGCAGGAGCAAGGGCCATGGGCTGCTGTGGCAGCCGCAGGCTGGGGTCAGGTCTCGGTGCTCCCGGGTAGGAGAAGGGCTTATTAAAGCCCTTCCAGGACTTGGAGCCCAGTGCTCTGCCCCTCAGCCTGGCTCAGTCCTCACCCAGTGTGGGGAGGGTCTGCACCTTCCAAGCAGCCCCTCCACTCCACTGTTAGAAAGTTCTCCTTAACTGCCCTCAGATCATCACTCCTTCCCCATCTGCACCCTCTCGTCACAGCCTGTGCACGGAGGCCCAGGCCCCAGGGCCAGAGAAGCCCAGCTGTTTCATGGTGGCAACTGCCCTCACCACCTCCTGTCCTGAGCCGAGCTCTGGACTTGCATTAGCCTCCGAGGAAGGGTGCGCTATTATCCTGTTCACTGATGAGGAAACGGAGGCACAGAGAGTGTCAGTGACCTCCCCCCAACCAAGGTCACACAGCTAACGGGTGAGGAGCTGACGGCCCTGCCTCTGGCCACACCTCCCTCCTTGAAGCCCAGCTGAGCCCACACTGCAGGGGGCTTGGGGGGCCGGTGGGAGGCTGTCACCTGCCTCTCAGGACTTGGATGGAGGCCCCCCAGGTGGAGGCGGGCTGTGCTACAGGTGCCGAGGACAGATGGCCTTCGTCCCCTGCCCGGGGCCTTGGCACTCAGATTCTGCCTTTTCTCCCACACACAGAACCTGACCTCACCCAGAATGCCTGAAAGCCACGAGAGCTGCCCTCCAGGCACCTGCCCTGGGAGCCACCAGACCCTCGCTGGCCCTTCCGGTCCAACCCACACCCGGCAAAGCAGGAGGGAGCCTCTTACTTGATCTCCGTCTGGCCACCTGCCTTCCGGGCGATCTGCACCAGCTCCTTCCCGTACCGCTCCTCCGCCTGCGCCCTGCAACAACATCAGTGACATCCGTGGGCTGCGTCTCCTCCACCTCTGCCTCCCACGAGCTCACTCGCTCCACCTCTGGGGACCTCCTTGAGAAAGTTAAGCCGCCAGTCCTTCCTCTAAATCAATGACGGCCAAGTACAGGCACATCTGGGGGGACTTCAGGTTATTTGTCCATCTGGGGGAGGCCCAGGTTGGGAAGGACGCAAGAGTTACACACCTGACCTGTTAGAGCAGGGTACCCCGCCGCAGCTCGGCTGGGATCGGGGCTCAGCCACTTCCGAGGAGCTGGGTGGAGGCTGCCTCCCTCCCGCCTGGCCCTCCCGCGCTCACCTCTGCCTCAGCAGCTCCTCCACATCCTTGCACATCTTCCTGCCGTCCAGCAGCCGCTGCAGCAGCACCTCGTAGCCCGTGTGGGCGGTGAAGTCCCTGCACTGGAACACAGGGCAGAGGGGCATGTGAGGACCGCAGGACAGAGAGCTACGTGGGTTGAGGAGCACTGCGTGCAGCCTGGCCAGAACCCCTCTCACCGCCTCCAGGGAAAGTCCCCCTCCAGCCTCCGAGACCTGGCCTCCCCGTCTGCCTCCATCTCCCTCATTCAAGAACAAGCTCTTGGGACTTAGGACCTGGCTTCACACAAGCACACAGTAGGCCCCCCATCGGTGGAGGCACCAGGTGTGGCGGTGGGCCCCACAGGGCGTCAGAGCTCACAGCCCAGGACACGGGAACCCTCACCTAAGACGCCCTGGGAGCGGCCCCCACCGAGGCCCCATGAGGACAGCCTTGTGGGGCACCTGGTGCCGCCCACTCCTTCACCCCAATAACCATGTTATCTCTGGTGTCCACGCGAGCAAACTGAGGCACTGACGGGTGAAAGTGTGCCCAGGCTGATTCAGTTTGAAAGTGGCAGGCCTGGTGTTGAACCCAGGCCGTCTGGCTGGGGTCCGCGCCTCTCACCTCTTCACTCTACAGCCTCTGCGGTGATGGCAGCAATTGTTTCCTGACCACCAGCTGTCTGCCAGCTGCTACCCCGGGCTCACCGCGGGGGCTCAAATGATCACCTGCTCCCCCCTGGTGAGGTGGGCATCGCGGGTGACTTCAGTCAGGACCAGGGCACACCTTAACACACACCTGGGACACACCTAGCACCCCTAGGACACCCAGCACACCCTAGGTCCAGCTCTTAGCCAGGACAGTGGGGAGGGGGCACTGTGGAGAATTCTCCAGGACACAGCTGCCTCTCTGCCGCCCAGCACGTGCTCAGCCTGCCCTGTGTCCAGGACATACCCTTCTCCTCTCTCACCCCTAGAGTGGATTCTGAGCTGGTGGTGCAGGAAGTTGGGGGAGGGAGGTAGGACTTAAGGACCATGAGGGGACAGAGGGTCTCCTAGGACGTCCCCAGTCTAGAGAGTGGGTCCTGGGGCCATGCAGCACCCCCAGCTCTCCCCAGGCACTGCACATGAGGCTGACTGCCAGGGGTGGGTGATGGAGCCTGAGAGGGGGTGAAACGTGGTGCTGAGAACTGGGGCTCCTGTGTCCCAGCCTGGTTCCCACATCCATTCTTGAGGAAGGACCCCACCCCAGCCGGGTGCTTGGCCAGGCAACTGCAAATTGGGTTAAGCTCCAAGATTCAGCGCCTAGTCTGTCTTCTTTTCCATCCCCACAAAGTGCCAAAAGCCTCAGAGAGTAGGGAAAGGACCTCTCGCTTCCCTGACACATCATAGCCCTACCTCAGAGCGTAGAGAATCAGCGGGGCGTTCCCAAGGCCACACGCACTCGGAGGAGGCAGGTCTAACCCGCCTTAGTCAGGAGCGGGTGACGCTCCTTTCCCTGCCCCACGCCTCCCCGCAAATACTGTGTTGTGGGTGGGCGGGGAGAGGCAGAGGAGGAGTCTAAATTAAGGAGAGCTTCCTGCAGGAAGAGGCATTTGAACCCGGTTCTCGGAAGAGAAGATGTTGTTCTTCAAGGTCTAAGGAGAACCAGGTGTGGTAGAGAAGGGCAGGGATACCACAAATTGCCTCAGATGGTCGCATGCCAGGCTCAGCACACCCTCAGCAAAATAAGAAGAGTGGCCTCTTCAGGCCTGTCGGATACTTATGACCCCAAGCTCATCCTCTCCCCTATAAGCACTTCTAGAAGCTCCTGAGACTCAGGCTTAGCCGCCCACAGGGTAACAAACAGGCTTGGGCCTGGGCTGGCTACTCAGGGCCCCAGCAGGAGGATGCAACTCCCCAACCCTTGCAGGCCTGTCCACCCAGGGTCCAGGCGGGTGTGCCTGGGCCAAGCTTCCATTTCTGTGGCTTTTGTGGGCCACTTGCCTATTAACCAGCCAGCAGACCATGGCTTCCTGCCCGTCAGCTCTGCCCTCCCTCCGGGCCCCCAGGACAGAAGCCGGCAGCAGCCAGGGAGGAAAATGAATCTGGAGCCTCAGCCTCCAGCTCTCTCCCACTGAGTGGGTCACTCTGAGCTGGACACCAGCATTCAGGGACGAATCCCCTAGACCACCAGAACGGGGAAGCATCCTGTCCTGTGCTCCTCCATCCCTGGGAAACGGAGGCCCAGGGAAGGGACGGACCTGCCTGAGGTCCCACAGGTAGAGGCAGGACAAGGATGAGGACTTACAGGGCACCTGCTCTTACTCCACAATGCCTCCCCTGGTGCGGGGAACAGCTGCAGGGAAATGCTGACCGGAGCCCACCCCTGCCTCAGACCCTCTGCTCTTCCCTCCCAGCCCCACGCCCAGCCCCGACCCTCTAGGGGAACCCTTGTCCTTATTGAGACCCCCAGAGTGGAAAGAGAAGCAAAACCAAACCTACATTGGCCATTCTGGAGGAGGTGGCAGGCAGAGGGGCCCCAGGAGCGCAAGTCCCCAGAGCACACAGCAGGGTCGAGAATCTGGTCTCTGCTGTCTAGTCCCTGCTCAGAGCCACTGTGGTGCCAGCAAGGGCTTTGGCAAAGAGCGCTGCCGTCACAAGTGACTAGCCTGTTCCAAGGAAGTGCCTGACTCCCTGAGGGTTGCTCCCTCCCAGCCTGCACTCTCCCCCTCCCCCACCCCAGCCTCCTCCTCCAGGCACCGGTTCTGACTCATGGCCCAGGGCTGGGCAGAGTCGAGTTCAGGAAGCTGCTGAGGAAATGAACCAACCAATCATTCAGTTAATCAATCAGTCCTGCACACTCACTGTCCAATGCCCATCACCGGAGTCCCCTGCTCCAGGGGGCCCACACTGGCCCTCCCTCCCTGCACCTCCCCAGCTCCACCCTCTAGTATCAAGGGCCTCCTATCAGTCCCCTCATTTACAGGCTCAGGTTGACATCTCCACAATGCAGAAGCGCCCAGAAGGCAGGGCCTCCCACCTCCTTCTGTCCATTAGCAGCCTGTCATCTGAGACCTGCCCATGGCCTTGCCCTCTGTGAAATCACCATTTATTGAGTCCACCTGCCACACACCATGCCAAGACCATCATAGCCATTTTCTTATTGAAAACACCACACACACAGGGAGGTCAGGACGGTGACCAGGCCAAGGGAGGGAAGTGACTGCTCAAGGTCACTCAGCTGGTAAAGGCCAGAATCTGGGCCTGTCTGCAAACCCACATCCCCACATCAGTCATTCAATAGCCAGCCCAGCAACTCTTCCATTTTAAAAAGTCAAAAAATGATTTTAAAAAGTTTTGGAAATGATTACTCAAATTCTCTCTGCATCAAATCAAAGCTGTTTCGGTCCAACATCCAGTTACCATGGATTCACAGAGGCCGGCTCTGTGCCCAGGCTGGGTCAGAGGAGCGCTGCCCTGGAGAAGGGTGGAGCTGGCTCTGCAGACGTGGGGCTGGGAGCCAGCAAGTAGCCCGAAGCCCCGCCCCCGCCATGTGGCACCTAGGGCGACCCACCCTGGGGTAGGGTGCCAGGTGGCAGGCAGGTGCAGACCCCTCCTTTGGGAGACCCCCCTCAAGCCAGATGTGGGACCCCAGGCCTTGCCATCCACGCTGTATGGCCACTCTGGGCCTCCCTTTCCCCTTGGAGGGGTCAGATCGGAGCTGCAGGAGGAGGTGCTCAGGAGAGCTCTGACAGGACAAAGAGCACCCCTGCCTCAGCCTCCAGGCCATGCAGGGGAAACCTGGGCACCCAGTCCTGCCAGGGGACATCCCAGCTGCTCCCTTCTCTGGGTGCTCTGGGCGTGAGCCGCAGACCAGGCCCTGCTGTGGCCCCACTGGGTGGGTAGAGAAGCAGCCTTTGTGCCCACTGCCACTTCCCCCTTTTCGTACCAATAGCACTCTTGGTGGCTCCATGGGCTAGACCACAGAGACCAGGAAACTGAGCAAGCCACTTCCCTTCTTGGGACCTGGTTTCTTCATTGAGGAGGTGAGGGCAGAGGCCAGCCTCTCCTGGCCCTACAGCCCATCCCACTAAGGCACAGCCCCATCAGGGCAGACTGGCTGCCAAGCCGGGGGCTGGGGGCCCAGGCCTGTCTGAGAGACTGGACAGAGTTCAGCAGACCAGACACAGATTCACAACCCACCTGTGGACCTGGTCATTCTCAGCCTCTCCTTCCCTCATTGTTCCCACCACCTAGGGGTGATCTGAGAATTCAAGGAAGTAATGTACACAGGAGGAGTGAACACAAGATCCCAGCTTGCCCTGAGCAGGGAACGGGGCTCAGGATCATTACCCACACTTGACAGGTGAGAAAAACGGAATGCAGAGAGGTGACCTAACCTGCCAGGGGCCTGTAGGGCACAGCTGGGATTTGAACTCAGTTCTCCCAGGCCAGATCCTACCGAGGTAGCCACGAGAGGAAGAGCTGACCTGTGGGCCTCTGCCACCTGCTGCACCATCACCAGGGGACGAAGACGTTTCACCTGCTTACAGCTACTGACCGCACCAGAGGATGGAGACCTCAGAAGCAGCAGGGGAGGGGAGGGCACGGCAGGTGCAGAGACCCCCATCGTAGGCTTCCCATCACAGGCGAAGCGGGGAGACTGGGAAGCTTTCAACTGAACAAGAGAGTGAGATTCTGATATTAGGTTGAACTCAAGAAACTGAGACCTGAAAAGGAACAAACACTCTAACGTGCCCAGCGGTTAGGACAAGAGAACTATCAGTGGCTTTGGAAGGTGGAAGAAAAAAAATTAAGTTTCCAGGTTGCAGCCTACCAAGTCGAGAAGCCGTTCTGTAAAATGTTCAGCATTCTTGTCAAGAACCTTCCTAAAGACTGACATGTTCTCTGGTGGATAAACTCTTTTTCTTTTTCTTTTTTTTAACTTTTTAAATCATCTTTTATTGGTGGGAGAGGAGACAACAGGGAGACTGGACTCGCTCCCTCCATCTCAGGAAGCCCCAGAAGCCAAGGATGCGGATCTTGAACAACGGTTACAGGCCGCACAGCGCGCGGGCTGCTTGGCCCTCTCCTCTCTCGCTGCAGCTTAACAGCAGGGA